AGCCTCGTAAATCCGCGAGCGACCGGGATGCGTGGACGGGTACGGGATCGCGAAGAGAGTCCTCCGTAGAATTTTCATCTAAACGTGCATGCGGAAAGAATGGGAGAAGACGTGCCGGTTACGTAAGGATTCGCGCGAAAGAGAGGTGTGCCATCAACGACGAGGATCTCGTCAACGCGTGAAAACATCTCAACGAAGATGCTTGGTTAAGAGTGAACGAGTTCTGTATAGAATGCCGTAAGGATTTGCAAAAGCGTAGAAAGAATTTTTTACGAGGATACTGGAAATTGCGGTTGTCCATGACCCTCGTTAGCGAAGAAAGAAAGCAATAGCGTGATTCGGTGTTAGTTCGAAGCTTCGAGGATAATGACCGAATCTCGTCGAAGATCAGGAACGTTAGAGAAATCCTGGAAATCGAGAGAACTTAAGGAATTCTTCTAGAGAATGGAAAAGTTGTAAATCAAGGATCGGCAGAATCTTTCGAAGATTCGTTTCTTTTTGTCTTAGAACCTGAAAGTGGCGATATTAACGAAGAAATGGATCCTACAGAAATGGAATCTGGAGTATGCCCATGTTCGTGAGGTTTGATCGCGTCGATCTACAACTGCTAGTTTCCACCGGTTCATGATAAAGCCGAACTCGACCGGGTTCCTCGTCTCCTGATAATAAATGGTGACCTAGCGAAGTAGCGGAGGCGAGGCTGGAGTTGAGAACGGGCGAGAATCGTTGCGAGAGAAGTGGAAAATGACGGACGAGCGTACTGGTGAGACAAGCTGCGCGGAGACGCAGCTCGAGGCTGACGAAGACGACGGTCAACGGGTGAAAATTTCCTGAACGTATTATAATGAATTTACCATGGAAAAAAGCGCAGCAAACGAAAGGAAAGAGAAGAAGCGGTAAACGTACGTGTCTATGCTCTCTCCAAGGGACTGTAAATCGGAGGAGCGTGGGAGAAGGGGTGGAGGAACTGTGGGGGTGTGGGTGCGAAGAAGAGGAACGGCTGGCCGCTGATGCGATCATGCGAAGTCCATCGACCAGACGGAAGACGTTTTTCCAACTGTCGTTTTCGTCGTTGGACAGAGATTAAAGAGACTGTGATGGGTGGGAAAGGTTGTGGAGGGTGAGAAGAAGACGACGAAGAGAGAACGACGAGGGGAAGGAAGGGTGGAGAAAAGGAAGGAAAGAGAGTGCGCGAGAGAAGAAGACGTATCGACGAACACGTAGAGAGAGGGATGTCGAGGACAGAGAGGCCCTTTCTTCGTGGAGTGTTCTCGACCCTGTCCCAATTTCCAGGCTCGTGATAGAGGCGGACTCGAAGGCGCGATGCTACGGATCAAACGGTTGCGAGATGATGCACACCGAGCGGCTCATAGTCGACGAAAGAAGACGTTATAAGCTCGTTCACGGTAGAAGGGAGTTATCGAGTACAGTAATCGATCGAGGAGAGGTTGAAAGAAAGGAAAAGAGAAAATAAAAGGGAGGAAGCGGAACAGATAATAAATATTAATACACGAAAGGGGTGACGAGCAGAAGGATAGGAATACAACAGGGTTCAGATGCATAAACTATCGGTAGCGTGTCTATAAGCAAGCAGAATGTTCAAGAGCAGGATCTTTCAGGGCGATCTCAGCCCTGTCCCAATTCCGGGCAGCCTGCAACAGTCCAGTACGTAATAACGAGAGAAACCCTTTACAGTTAGATCGATCGTTCGACGCACGTTTCGCGCAGGGGATCGATCCTTCGGGCTTTCTGACTTATCAGCATGGATGGCTACGTGCCTCGAATCGTGTATCGTACTTTTTCTTCTTTAAATGATTATTCAAATTTAATGATAATCTCGTAGGATATTTTTTGTTACCACTTTTAAATGATTAATTCAAACGCAATTAATATTATTTACGTTTGACATGAATTTATGATAAAATATTGCGTTTGGTCAGATTACCGTCATTCTATATGTGATGTGATTGTAGTAACTGTGTTATGTTATATTTTTCTATTCAATTACTATTCCTGATCATTTACCGTCAGAAAATAATTATCGTCATTATTCTCTATTTAACCAAACGAAGTCTTTAGATTTTGGAAGACCACAATTTCATTCTTCGTATAAATTTCTCTACTACCATATTATTTTTGTTGTTAATTCTGCTCTATAAAAATGAAAATACCTACAAATCAACGTTTTTTGAATACCAAGTTGTTCGTACACAACAAAATGTTCTCCGTGTATGTCGCTAGTTTTGTCAATATCACGTTCGATGTAAAGTTTAAAGCTCTCTTATCGCCTCAGAAACCCCGTTATCTTTATCCGTATGGTCAATTTTCTTAAATCCAACAATTTATTTCTCAAAACCTGTATGCATGTATCTTCTACGCTTCTCGAAACACTTTCTACCCCGATGTAACACTTGCACGGTTCGACCGTGGCCGATGGGACCGAGCCACTTGTTCATGGTTCAAAAGCCTTCGTCTTTCGTAGGAAAGGTTAAGACGAAGCTAATGGCGCGAAAAACTAGGTAGAGGTGTATCCGGTGGGCCGAGTGGGGCCAAACAGGTCAACGACCCGTTTAGTGCAGCTGTTATTGATCGACGAGAACGAGAGAGGAGGACGAGCAACATCGGTCGACCGTTTCATCCAACTCTCTCTCTCTCTCTCTCTCTTCTGCATTCTGATCCTTCTTGATTCCCGCAGGATTCCAGCCTTATTTATCGACGAAGCTTCGTTAGAAACGAGCCATCGCCGTTTCACCTTGTCCTCGGCTAGCGATCGGCGAATTTCCGACGTCACTTCGACCCAGAAATTCTCTCCGTAGCTTCAGGGAATCCGGCAAAGAGCTGACCCAATAAACACTGGGTGACCTCTTTCCGGACTACCACCCCTCATCCTTGTCACTCTAACCTGCCACTCTTCTCCCCTCTGTTCTTCTTTCTCCTCCTCCTTCTCTTCTTCTCCTTCTTCATCCTCATTTTCTTTTTCTTACTCTTCCTCTTCTTCTTCTTCTTCTTCTTCTTCTTCTTCTTCTTCTTCTTCTTCTTCTTCTTCTTCTTCTTCTTCTTCTTCTTCTTCTTCTTCTTCTTCTTCTTCTTCTTCTTCTTCTTCTTCTTCTTCTTCTTCTTCTTCTTCTTCTTCTTCTTCTTCTTCTTCTTCTTCTTCTTCTTCTTCTTCTTCTTCTTCTTCTTCTTCTTCTTCTTCTTCTTCTTCTTCTTCTTCTTCTTCTTCTTCTTCTTCTTCTTCTTCTTCTTCTTCTTCTTCTTCTTCTTCTTCTTCTTCTTCTTCTTCTTCTTCTTCTTCTTCTTCTTCTTCTTCTTCTTCTTCTTCTTCTTCTTCTTCTTCTTCTTCTTCTTCTTCTTCTTCTTCTTCTTCTTCTTCTTCTTCTTCTTCTTCTTCTTCTTCTTCTTCTTCTTCTTCTTCTTCTTCTTCTTCTTCTTCTTCTTCTTCTTCTTCTTCTTCTTCTTCTTCTTCTTCTTCTTCTTCTTCTTCTTCTTTCTTCTTCTTCTTCCTCCTCCTCTTCTGTCTGCCCTTCAACAAGCATAAAACAGTCATAGCAATCGCTGCAACGACCAAAACCCTTGGTCCCTTTTTTCAACCAGCGGGGAATTCTTTAAACGTTATTTATATACGTTGAATGCTATGTTCCCTGTTCTGAATGGGTCTCATTGAATAGGGGGTGATTTAGGTGCTGGGAGTCAGTCGGTAGATGTAAGAGGGAATGTGGGGAAATTGGAGGATAAGAGAAGGGTGAATTGAATGGGTGGCAGGGTATTGTTTTCTCGTTTATAGGAACTGCTCCTTTTTCCCTTCCGTTGATGGATATGGAGTCCTTTATTACGTCAAAGGGGTTGTATGAATATATTATAAATGGTAATACGAGACGGTTTTACGGAAACGGTAGCTGTGAGGCGTAAAGTATCGATGAATATTAAAGGTGGAGTTAATTAGATTTCTTTGATGGTTTTAGGCCAGCAAGGTCAGCAGGGTGAACAGGAGTTGGCAACGAAGATGCTGCAAATACAGAGCAAAAGATTCTATCTTGATGTAAAACAGAACAGACGCGGAAGGTTTATCAAAGTAGCCGAGGTATTTCTGAAATTATTGCTAGCGGGATCCTCGGTTAGCCACGTTTAACCATCCATTTAACCATGTAACCCTCAACTAGTATTTTGGATTATAGATATTTATTTTATACATTTATGTGAGTATTAAGTGTACATTAAGTGTGTATAATGCGTACATAAAATGCCCAAAGTAGGGTATTTTAAACAATTTTATAATAGACGAATTAAATTAGATGATTCATTTCGTTTATTGCGTTTACAAAAATATGAATTTACATAAATATCCGTAATGTAATTACTAACATTCTAGGTATTGTAGATTATAGGCAAATTACAACTGCTTGAATTAACTTTGAGATGTTATAATTAAAAATTAATTAATAATTACTATATTTTAATTTATATTCTGTATATCAAACGATAATTTCTATCAGTTAAAACACAAAATATGAATTGAAATAAGGTGGTCAAAAATGAAGTAGTCTTTAGATAGAGATCCAAATTCTTGTGACTTAGTCACCGCCCAACAATACCAATTGAGGGTTAAAGGCAGCGAGATACGTTTTTTCCCCTCTCTTCTTTCTTAATTTTTGTTTGTTAATTTAATGCAAAGAAAGAAGGAAGTAAAGTATGCTTGTGTTTTGTAGATCGGCGCGGATGGGAGGAGAAGCCAAATCTACCTGGCACTTAGCACAGCATCCGAGTTTCGGAACTACCTTTCGACGTTTAGTGACTTTTACGCATCTCTAGGTAAACTGCAATCTCTAATTGTTATGAGATTTCGTTCGATGCGATCACTGATACGTGCCTCAAGAGAGAATGTCATATTTTGTCAAATAAAATTGGCTTGTACACGGTTAGAAAAGGTTTGCTGCTTTAAATCGTAATTCGTGTGTTAGCACGTTCACGTTCGCTATACATAAAGATGGATTTTTATTTTCTATGAAATATGTTGGATCGATTTAGCAGGAAAAACTTGTGTGTAAAATTGAATTGAAAGCTCTTTAACTAGTGATAATCGTTAATTGTTAATATTTTTATAATTTTCTTCTTTTTTTCATGTTTGGTGTAGGCTTTTTCCAGCAAACAAGTATTCCTTTTCCTCTTGCTTTAGGCGAAGAATATTGAAATTGTATTTTTTGTTGTTAAAAGTTATTAATAATGAGACAGAATTAAGAACAGCTTGGTCTTATAAAAGAAATTTCCTCTTAGTAAATATGCATATGTCATTTTTACTGTTAGTATACTTGAAAGTATAAATTTTTAGAAATTAAAATTAGTTTAACTACTGTTGTTTGAATTTGTATTATTTTTTTTATACATAACTTTCCTCTGTGTAATATATATTTATAATAGATACAACGTCAAGTATAAAGATGTCGAAAGATGAACATATATATGTCTCTGAGTCAAAAGTATCTTGATACGTTGGTTGTGAGTCAACATTAGCATGAATCACGAATTGTTGACTCAAAGTCGTGACAAGCGAATTACGCATGTTGAGATATATGCAGTATGGATTACAAGCTTTTCTTTCAAAACCATTACAGATGCCAACTTGAATATGCAATGACTTTCCTGCAATTGAATAGGACATAGGGCCCAATCATTTAATATACCACACATTACCTTAAAACTACTGTTAAGAGAGCAATGGAGATTCTCTTTATTTATTTTTTATAAAACTAAATATTAATATTTTTTATTCATTTTCTTTTTTTATAACATGACATTTTTTTGTATAAACTTTCCTGAAATACCTGGAAAAGTCATAAAAAATGTCTAAATAAATGTTTCGTGCTTTAAAAGTTGTATTACATGTGTATTCAAGTGTAATGTCTGAGCTTTTAAACACTTTTAACTTTATTAAATATTTCATGAATATTGTTTCAAATACTTGATAATAATAACGAAACGATTGAAGCCACGATACATAGACAATGTACAGGTATATTCTAATTTTCGTATTTTCCTTTAATATAGGAAGAATGGCCATCGCTCAGGCTCAAAATATATTTATAAAGACCTACAAAGAAATCTAGTGGCTAGATTGCTTCAAGAACATTCCATAAAACGCTTCCCGGCACAGATTATGTTTACTTTTATATTTTGCGATGTCTCTGTAAAGTTTTTATCGAAAAACATATCTTTAATTATATAAAACGAAATACGAATACTTTCGACAGAAATTGAGCGATTAAATTATTTGAAGTAATTAAATTCGATAGGATAGGAAAGATATAAATATTAATATACCATTCTATGTTAACAAACAAATGCGATGCGTTGTCCTTTATTGGCCGTTCCAGAAAAATTTTATTATTCGAAAAAAGTTTAACATAATATCTGCAATAATCTCGGAGGAAGCAGCATGTAACACTTTATTTAGTCCAGCGTATAAATTTGTAATTTAAAATTATTCTGATTCACATGTAGGTCAGAACGGACAGTGAACCTGTTACGGCTTTTGTTTTAAGATAATATCTAATTTTAACGAAGAGAAACTATTTATTATTGAAGAAGTTTCGTAAATTAACAAACATTCAAGCTCAATCTGTATCTGAGAATTTCAAACAATGTTAATTCGTTAACGATAAATTAATATTGATACAGAATGGGCCATGAAAGCTCAAAGAATCTTAAATATTTCAATGTTTAATCTCAACTTACTAGTATCTGTATTAATAAATTAATATATATTAATAATAATTTTAAATATTTTAATATTTAAGGTTCTTTTTTTACTTCAAGAGATACGACTATCTGAATCTAAAACTGTCGAGTGCTATATATCATCGTATTAAGGATAAATAATTTGTTACGATAAATGAGAATAGGGAACTAAAAGGACACAGATGACTAAAATTTAATATGTACTTCTTTCCTGTTCGAACCGTCAAATCTGCAGGTCCACCAAACTCGGAGAACGTGCCAGATGATGGGAAACTGAAGTCGGAAGTAATGACGAAGGATAACAGGCGGTATTACTTGGACCTCAAGGAAAATACTCGCGGCCGTTTCCTGCGGGTGAGTCACCCTGTATGTACCAGCCAATGCATTTACTTTCTACACTAAGTGATAAGGAAGAGAGAGAGAGAGAGAGTCTGTCCCTTGTGGATATCGTCTTGAGGTGAAAGGGTCAACCTTTTCAGATGGTAAAAAGCATTTAAGAAATGAAAACTTCGAAGAAACGTGTCGAAAAAGAAGAAATGATTTGTTCGAACAAATCGCTTCCACCGCGCACCTGCTTCAATTCCAAAGAAAATCTGTAGTGAAATATTTGTTAAAACGATTCTATTCGTTGCACAGGTGTCGCAGACGATAACACGAGGAGGACCTAGGACACAGATCGCAATACCAGCACAGGGTATGATCGAATTCCGTGACGCTTTGACGGACCTCCTCGAAGAATACGGTACGGACGATGGCGGTTTCAAGGGTGACTTACCAGAAGGACGGTACATGCGCGTGGATAGCAAGAATTTCTATTTTGATATCGGCCAGAATAACCGTGGTATCTACATGAGAATTTCCGAGGTACGTGCGTATCGCTGGCTAAAAATACGGGGTGTGTCTTGACATGGTTGGACACATTGTCGTAGGGGTGGATTCAGGGAGAAAAAAGAGTTCCTGTGAACGTACGGCCTATTTAATAAGTGGCCTCGAATAGGAACCGCATTTAAATCATTCTTTACATCAAATAA